CTCCCCTCCTCCTCCCCTCCTCCTCCTCCGGCTACCTGTAGTGCTCCTACCCTCCTAGCACTCCTACCACCCCCACTGCTCCTACCACCCGCGGCCACCATTTCTGCCACTGCCACCACTTTTGCTCCTGTCAGCACTCCTACCATTCCAGCTCCTGCCGCTGATATTCGTCCCACTTCTGCTGCCGCCGCCAGTTCCATCGCCGTTGCTTCTCCTGCCTTTGCTTCTGCCACCCCTGCCCCCACTCGTCGTCCTCCTCCTCCTAGTTTACTACTAGCTTAACGACCCCAATGGTGCAGGTGCATTCACACGCAGACTTCTTTTCGGTAAACACAGTGCGGTGCCCTACGCGTATTTTCTCTTACAATCTTCGGACTACCGTTTTCCATGGCTGACTTCATTGTCAGAGGAAGGTATACAATACGTGGACGTGTGCATTTGCGATACGCTATGATGAAGACGCGTCTGCGTCAGCTTCGGTGTTACCGTGAGGCTTCCGCTCGATAGGCTGTGAGTAGTTAAATCTCGGAAGTCAGACTTAACACACGGATGTTCAACTCCCCGGGGGCTGGTACCCTAACCGCTGCGTTGTTCAAGGGTCCCTCGTAACGCTTATATTCCCAAGTGGGGGCGCTGTCCCCACTGCCTGACCGCTTGCCCGGCACTGCGACTCCCACGCCACTGCTGGTACTGCCCCCGTTACTCCTCCGCCAGCTACCTCCGCCCTCCCGCCCTGCGTGCTCTTCTCCGGGGTCCCTCCCCAGAGATGGGCTCGCTCCAGGAAGCCCCGCAGGGGAGCGACCTCACCGGGCCACGGTGCCCGGCTCTAGCACGGCTCTGTGATCTTGCGGGTGTCCGTGCGTTTGGCTTTCTCCACTAGATTTTCATTCCAAGGGCGGGGCCGTGTGCTCACTGCTGTCACGCCCCCTTTCCTGTATGTCACGTTGCTGCTCAGTGACAGGCGGACTCAACTCGGGGGGCTCAGTCCAGAGCCCAGGCTCTGACTCTCCTAGGACACAGAAGCAGGGGGATGGCAGACTTGGTTATTTCGGCCAAAATGGGATGGAGAGTTGCCCCCCCACCCCCCACCCTCCGCCGTTCTCTCTCCATTGTGGGCTCAGCCGCCTTGTAGGTGAACCTTCTGGCAATAGTTCTCAGCCGGGTGGGTTGGGTTCTGGTGGATTCTAAGAGGGCTCACCTCTTCTGGACTCGTGTTGTCAGGCTCCTGAGTTTTGTGTTCAGGATCGAGGAGTCGTTAGTCCAGGTGTCTGAAGGGAAATGGTTTGTGGTGTAATCGGCGCTCACTGCAGCCAGCATGAACTTTGGCCCCTCGGCAATCCACGCCTGGGCTCGTGCCTGGGGACCAAGTGTGCCCAAACCCCATGTTCCTCCGCCCTTG